TTCCATGTCATTCTACTTTGATTCCATTCTCTCTAAATGACCAAACCACTTCAACAACCCCTCTTCTGCCCTCTGACTAATGCTTTTATTAACTCCACACCTTCTCCTAATTTCCACACTCCGAATTTTCTGCATAATATTTACACCACACATTGCCCTTAGACAGGACATCTCCACTGCCTCCAACCGTCTCCTCGCTGCTGCATTTACCACCCAAGCTTCACATCCATATAAGAGTGTTGGTACTACTATACTTTCATACATTCCCTTCTTTGCCTCCATGGATAACGTTTTTTGACTCCACATATACCTCAACGCACCACTCACCTTTTTTCCCTCATCAATTCTATGATTAACCTCATCCTTCATAAATTCATCTGCCGACACGTCAACTCCCAAGTATCTGAAAACATTCACTTCTTCCATACTCCTCCTCCCCAATTTGATATCCAATTTTTCTTTATCTAAATCATTTGATACCCTCATCACCTTACTCTTTTCTATGTTCACTTTCAACTTTCTACCTTTACACAACATTCTCAAACTCATCACTAACCTTTGCAATTTTTCTTTAGAAATCCCATAAGCACAGTATCATCAGCAAAAAGTAACTGTGTCAATTCCCATTTTGAATTTGATTCCATAAATGCAATAAAAACTTCCCTATCTTTATCTAAATACTGTTCACATATATGCTTCAATGTAAACACCTGATCTTACACATCCCCTACCCCTCTGAAACCTCCTGCTATCCGCAATCTTAATTTTCTTATTCCTAATTCTTTCAATTATTTAAACCCCACCGTACATTTTCCTGGTATACTCAGTAAGCTTATTACTCTGTAATTTTTACAGTCTCTTTTGTCCCCTTTCCCTTTATATAAAGGGACTATACATGCCTCCCCCAATCCCTAGGTACCTTCCCTCTTTCAAAACATTTATTAAACAAAAGTACCAACCCTCCAACACTATATCCCCCCCTGCTTTTAACATTTCTGTCATGATCCCATCAGTTCCAGCGCTTTACCCCTTTCATTTTAGTAAAAGCCTCACGTACCTCCCCACACTTACATTCTGCTCTTTTTCACTCCTAAAAGATGGTATACCTCCCTGACCCGTGCATGAAATTACTGCCTCTGTTTCTTCCTTAACATTTAAAAGTTCCTCAAAATATTCTTGCCATCTACCCAATACCTCCATCTCCCCATCTACTAACTCCCCTACTGTTTTTAACTGACAAATCCATATTTTCCCTAGGCTTTCTTAACTTGTTTAACTCACTCCAAAATTTTTTTCTTATTTTCATTAAAATTTCTTGACAGTGCCTCTCCCACTCTATCATCTGCTCTCCTTTGCACTCTCTCACCACTCTCTTTACTTTCTTTTACTCTCCATATACTCTGCTCTTCTTATAACACTTCTGCTTTGTAAAAACTCTCAAAAGCTACCTTTTTCTCTTTTATCACACCCTTTACTTCATCATTCCACCAATCACTCCTCTTTCCTCCTGCCCCACCCTCCTATAACCACAAACTTCTGCCCCACATTCTAATACTGCATTTTTAAAACTATTCCAACCCTCTTCAAACCCCCCACTACTCATCTTTGCACTAGCCCACCTTTCTGCCAATAGTCGCTTATATCTCACCCGAACTTCCTCCTCCCTTAGTTTATACACTTTCACCCCCTCTTACTTGTTGTTGCCACCTTCCTCTTTCCATCTACCTCTTACTCTAACTGTAGCTACAACTAAATAATGATCCGATATATCAGTTTGCCCCTCTATAAACATGTACATCCTGGAGCTACCCATCAACCTTTTATCCACCAATACATAATCTAATAAACTACTTTCATTACGTGCTACATCATACCTTGTATATTTATTTATCCTCTTTTCATAAAATATGTATTACTTATTACCAAATTTGTTTCTACACATAGCTCAATAAAGGCTCCCCATTTACAATTTACCCCTGGCACCCAAATTTACCTACTACTCCCTCCATAACATTTTTACCCACTTTAGCATTGAAATCCCCAACCACCATTACTCTCACACTTGATTCAAAACTCCCCACGCATTCACTCAACATTTCCCAAAATCTCTCTCTCTCCTCTACACTTCTCTCTTCTCCAGGTGCATACACGCTTATTATAACCCACTTTTCACATCCAATCTTTATTTTACTCCACATAATCCTTGAATTAATACATTTATAGCCCCTCTTTTCCTGCCATAGCTTATCCTTCAACATTATTGCTACTCCTCCTTTAGCTCTAACTATTTGAAACCCCTGACCTAATCCCATTTATTCCTCTCCACTGAAACTCTCCCACCCCCTTCAGCTTTGTTTCACTTAAAGCCAGGACATCCAGCTTCTTCTCATTCATAACATCCACAATCATCTCTTTCTTATCATCTGCACAACATCCATGCACATTCAGACTTCCCACTTTGACAATTTTCTTCTTATTCTTTTACTGGGAAATAATTTCCCTCTTTCCTACATACTCTAACTTGAGCCTCACTATCCTCGTAAAAACTCTTCACTGCTTTCAGTAACCTACCTCCTACGCCATACACTTGCAACATCTGCCAGATTGCCCCCCTATCCACCCTGTCATACGCCCTTTCCAAATCCATAAATGCCACAAAGACCTCTTTAGCCTTATCTAAATACTGTTCACTTATATGTTTCACTGTAAACACCTGGTCCACACACCCCCTACCTTTCCTAAAGCCTCCTTGTTCATCCGCTATCCTATTCTCCGTCTTACTCTTAATTCTTTCAATAATAACTCTACCATACACTTTACCAGGTATACTCAGCAGACTTATCCCCCTATAATTTTTGCACTCTCTTTTATCCCCTTTGCCTTTATACAAAGGAACTATGCATGCTCTCTGCCAATCCCTAGGTACCTTACCCTCTTCCATACATTTATTAAATAATTGCACCTACCACTCCAAAACTATATCCCCACCTGCTTTTAACATTTCTATCTTTATCCCATCAATCCCGGCTGCCTTAATCCCTTTCATTTTACCTACTGCCTCACAAACTTCCCCCACTCACAACTGGCTCTTCCTCACTCCTACAAGATGTTATTCCTCCTTGTCCTATACACGAAATCACAGCTTCCTCATCTTCATCAACATTTAACAATTCCTCAAAATATTCCCTCCATCTTCCCAATACCTCTAACTCTCCATTTAATAACTCTCCTCTCCTATTTTTAACTAACAAATCCATTTGTTCTCTAGGCTTTCTTAACTTGTTAATCTCACTCCAAAACTTTTTCTTATTTTCAACAAAATTTGTTTATAACATCTCATGCACTCTCTCATTTGCTCTCTTTTTACATTGCTTCACCACTCTCTTAATCTCTCTTTTTCTCCATATACTCTTCCCTCCTTGCATCACTTCTACTTTATAAAAACTTCTCATATGCTAACTTTTTCTCCCTTACTACTCTCTTTACATCATCATTCCACCAATCGCTCCTCTTCCCTCCCGCACCCACTTTCCTGTAACCACAAACTTCTGCTGAACACTAACAATACATTTTTAAACCTACCCCATACCTCTTCGACCCCATTGCCTATGCTCTCATTAGCCCATCTGTCCTCCAATAGCTGTTTATATCTTACCCTAACTGCCTCCTCTTTTAGTTTATAAACCTTCACCTCTCTCTTCCCTGATGCTTCTATTCTCCTTGTATCCCATCTACCTTTTACTCTCAGTGTAGCTCCAACTAGAAAGTGATCTGATATATCTGTGGCCCCTCTATAAACATGTACATCCTGAAGTCTACTCAACAGTCTTATCTACCAATACATAATCCAACAAACTACTGTCATTTCGCCCTACATCATATCTTGTATACTTATTTATCCTCTTTTTCTTAAAATATGTATTACCTATACCTAAACCCCTTTCTATACAAAGTTCAATCAAAGGGCTCCCATTATCATTTACACCTGGCACCCCAAACTTACCTACCACACCCTCTCTAAAAATTTCTCCTACTTTAGGATTCAGGTCCCCTACCACAATTACTCTCTCACTTGGTTCAAAGGCTCCTATACATTCATTTAACATCTCCCAAAATCTCTCTCTCTGCTCTGCATTCCTCTCTTCTCCAGGTGCATACACGCTTATTATGACCCACTTCTCGCATCCAACCTTTACTTTAATCCACATAATTCTTGAATTTACACATTCATATTCTCTTTTCTCCTTCCATAACTGATCATTTAATATTACTGCTACCCCTTCCTTTGCTCTAACTCTCTCAGATACTCCAGATTTAATCCCATTTATTTCCCCCCACTGAAACTCCCCTACCCCCTTCAGCTTTGTTTCGCTTAGGGCCAGGACATCCAACTTCTTTTCATTCATAACATCAGCAATCATCTGTTTCTTGTGATCCGCACTACATCCACGCACATTTAAGCATCCCAGTTTTATAAAGTTTTTCTTCTCTTTTTTAGTAAATGTCTACAGGAGAAGGGGTTACTAGCTCATTGCTCCTGGCATTTTAGTCGCCTCATACAACACGCATGGCTTACGGAGGAAAGATTCTTTTCCACTTCCCCATGGACAATAGAGGAAATAAAGAAGAACAAGAGCTATTTAGAAAAAGGAGAAAAACCTAGATGTATGTATATATATATGCATGTGCGTGTCTGAAGTGTGACCAAAGTGTAAGTAGGAGTAGCAAGATATCCCTGTTATCTAGCGTGTTTATGAGACAGAAAAAGAAACCAGCAATCCTACCATCATGCAAAACAGTTACAGGTTTCTGTTTCACAGTCATCTGGCAGGACGGTAGTACTTCCCTGGGTGGTTGCTGTCTACCAACCTACTACCTATGTATGTATGTATACAGTACATATTAATCCAAGAGTAGATATATAGTAGATGACCTTCAAATAATGCAAAAATGAATAAACATCTCCAAAACCATTAGAAAAATAAAAATCAAGGACTTACCATGACTTCCAGCTCTTTTGCTACGGAATCTTTGAGGTGTCTTCGTGTGGAATTTGAGGTTCAGCTCGGCAATAGAAACAAATTTGGTACCATCCTCAGTCTTTCCTTTTCGAGTCTCCGTTAATTTAAATGGCTGAGGAATTGTTGGCCCCTTCTTTGCTTCTGTGTTCTGTCAGTGTCAAGTCAGGTGTTAAAAGGAATATTCTGCACTACATAAAAGCTGCTCTCTACTAGAGCAAACTGTTATAAAAATTAAAGACCCCTTCAATCCACCCAAGAAACACAAATGCACTTATATCGAAACTACCCATTACCTGGAGTTGACTGTACCAAAGAATACCTACCTTGAACCTACCTCATCAGTTTACAGAGGAATATATTTATTACACTTTTAACCCATAAACTGTCCAAACAGACCTACGTCCACGTGCAGGGGGGGGGGGGGGCCTCCAAACGTAGATTTTTTTTTTTTTTACAGGCTTTCAAATGGGGAAAATTAAGGTCGGAGCGCAACACACGTGAATGTAGATCTACATTTGGACAGTTTAAAGGTTAAATAAGCCCTTGTGTGGCAAGCCATGGAATACGGTTTTCATACAATGTTTAAACCATACCCCCGGCCGGGATTGAACTCGCAGTCATAGTCTCAAAACTCCAGCCCGTCGCGTTAGCCACTAGACCAGCTAGCTAGCCACAATAAGATTCATCCAACTAGGTCTAGTGGCTAACGCGACGGGCTGGAGTTTTGAGACTATGACCGCGGGTTCAATCCCGGCCGGGGGTATGGTTTATTTGCAATCGTGTCATTACGATTTCTTGAGTCATTCATACAATGTTTATTTGCAACTTCCAGCCAATTTTTCAAAAAAAAATTTTATACAATTAGAATATTTTTAGCTTTTCTAGCAGCTGTGATACAAAAAGCTAGAATCTTCCAGTCTCCCACTTTGCATATAAAAGCAACATTTGTGTTACCTCCAACTTGTGCATACACCATCACCACAGTTACATGAACCATTCCACATCTTTCTAGTCATTTCACTGTCCACACCCCTGATCTGAATTGGTGTGTCCAAGAATTGAGAGAGAAAAAAAAAAAAAAAACTGCTGGCAAAGAAACCAAAAGTACAAAATTTGATGGAAAATTGACGAAAATATGCTTTCACAAATTTGCTGTGTCACCGATATTTAGTCATTGGTGATTTTTTCCTCCAAGTCCTATTTTAGGCCAATTACACTGTTCCAGTACACCAAATTCTTAGATATTTCACTAGTATGCCTTCATTTTACCAACTGAACACAAGAAACTGCCCAATCAAATATTTCAACTACCTAACAGTGATCAGAAATTGGTAATTTGGCCAATTTCACACAAATTTCACAATAAAGTCCAGAATAAATAATGCAGGCATTCCTGGCACTAAAATAAAATTTCCTTTACTCATTAGTTACATTCACAGGCTTTACATGTGCATTCCATGTTGAAGAAGACAAAGATAAGAAAGAAGGAACACTACAACAGGCCTACTGGCCAATGCGAGGCAGGTCAAATTTTCCCACCGGCTTAAGCCAATGCCTTGACCTAGTAGCACAAGCTAGTGAGGTCCAACTCATACCCACCCACACCCACTCGTGAATTTATCCAACCTATTTTTAAAACTACACAACGTCTTAGCGTATATGACGGTATTCGGGAGTTTGTGCCACTCATCCACAACTATTACCAAACCCGTGGTTTCCTATTTTTTTTATTTTATATTTTTATTAACATATCGGCCAATTCCCACCAAGGTAGGGTGGCCTGAAAAAGAAAAACTTTCATCATTCACTCCATCACTGTCTTGCCAGAAGGGTGCTTTACACTACAGTTATAAAACTGCAACATTAACACCCCTCCTTCAGAGTGGAGACACTGTACTTCCCATCTCCAGGACTCAAGTCCAGCCTGCCGGTTTCCCTGAATTCCTTCATAAATGTTACTTTGCTCACACTCCAATAGCACGTCAAGTATTAAAAACCATTTGTCTCCATTCACTCCTATCAAACACGCTCGTGCATGCCCGCTGGAAGTCCAAGCCCCTCGCACACAAAACCTCCTTCACACCCTCCCTCCAAGTTTTCCTAGGCCGACCCCTATCCCGCCTTCCTTCCACTACAGACCGATACACTCTTGAAGTCATTCTGTTTCGCTCCATTCTCTCTACATGTCCGAACCACCTCAACAACCCCTCCTCAGCCACTATTATGCCTTTGCATTAAGGGCAGTCTAAACTTAACAGATTACCGATTACTTAACACTAAACGTAAAAAAACAGTTTGCTCAGGTTTCACTAATTCTATAATAGGTTATACTTATGTCAAATACATGTGATTCAACAGTTGCATTAAAATACATGAATTTACTGTACTCTGAGCATTTACTTTTCAGGTTTTGAAGATAGGGGAGTAACACAGTGAGCAATTATAATTTGAGGTGGAGTGATCTGGTAGCTTTGTTGGTAAGGTTAAGTACTGAGAATTTAATTTTGGATGAGTAGGTGGTTTTTAAGAAGTCTTGAATTGAAGTACAGTTCCTTTGGTATTCACTGGTAAGGAATTCAAAATTTTTGGGCCCTTTATGTGCATAAAGTATTAACATAGTGTGAGATGGACACGGGGAACATCAAAGAGTGATCTGTGCCTTGTGTCATGGTCGTATGTCCTGTTAAGGTTGCTAAGAAGTTTACTTGGAGGGTTTATATTTGAGTGGAGTGTTCCATGTATGTAGTTGGCAGAATAATAGGTATGGATGTTCTCTATGGTGAATAAGTTCAGACTTGAATATTGGTGGAGTATGCTGTCTGGAGTGGGTATTTATCATCATTCTAACTGCAGCCTTTTGCTGGGTTATTAGTGATCTGAGATGGTTTATTGTTGAACCCCATGCACAAATTCCAAAGGTGAGATGGGGATAAATGAGCAAGTGATACATGGCAAGGAGAGCTGGTTGTGGAACATAGTACCATATCTTTGATAGTATGCCTATGGTCTTAGATATTTTCTTGGAAATTTGTTGCATGTGTGTCTGAAATTTGAGGCTACTGTCAAGGTGGATTCCTAAGAATTTTCCTCCGAGTCTTGTGACAGGTGATCCATTTAACATTATGTTAAGTGCAACATTTGTAGTTCTTTTTCCAAATTGAATGAAATAGGATGAAATAGGTTTTGTCAATATTGAGAGTAAGCTTGTTAGTCATCATCCAGGTAGATATTTTCTGCAAGTCAGCATTTACAGTGTTGGCTAGTATGACTGGGCTTAGGTGAGAGAAGATTTATGTAGTGTCATTTGCAAATAATATGAGTAGTTAAGATGCATTTGGTAGGTTATTGATGTAAACAAGAAAGAGAACTGGGCCAAGGACACTTTCCTGTGGGACACCAACTGTAATTGGTTGTGTGGAAGTGTTAGCTCCATTTGTGTATACATATTGGCTTCTGTTGCAAAGGCATGACTAAGTAGTTGAGGGAGTGCCCTCTTATGTTAATTTATTCTACTGTAAGGTCTATTTACCACATTACGTAGCGTGTTTATTATACATGTATAATGTTGAAAAAAATATTGGATTAATGAAAATGCTCTTTTTTTCAACAAGTCGGCCGTCTCCCCCCGAGACAAGGTGTCCCAAAGTGAAAGAAAATCCCCAAAAAGAAAATACTTTCATCATTCAACACTTTCACCTCACTCACACAATCACTTTTTGTAGAGGTGCCCAGAATACAACAGTTTAGAAATATATAGGTATAAAAATACACAATGTATCTCTCCAAACTGCCAATATCCCAAACCCCTCCTGTAGAGTGCAGGCATTGTACTTCTCATTTCCAGGACTCGAGTCCAGTTATATAAAATAATCGGTTTCCCTGAATCCCATCACTAAATATTATCCTGCTCTCACTCCAACAGATCGTCAGGACGAAATACCATTTGTCTCCATTCACTCCTATCTAACGCGCTCACGCACGCTTGCTGGAAGTCCAAACCCCTCGCCCACAACACCTCCTTTACCCACTACCTCCAACCTTTTCGAGGACGACCCCTACCCTGCCTTCCTTCCCCTACAGATTTATACACTCTCCATGTCATTCTACTTTGATCCATTCTCTCTAAATGACCAAACCACTTCAACAAACCCTCTTCAGCCCTCTGACTAATACTTTTGTTAACTCCACACCTTCTAATTTCCACACTCCGAATTTTCTGCATAATATTTACACCACACATTGCTCTTAGACAGGACATCTCCACTGCCTCCAACTGCCTCCTCGCTGCAGCATTTACAAACCCCATGTAAGAGTGTTGGTACTACTATGCTTTCATACATTCTCTTCTTTGCCTCCACAGATAACATTTTTTGCCTCCACATATACCTCAATGCACCACTCGCCTTTTTTCCTTCATCAATTCTATGATTAACCTCATCCTTCATAAATCCATCCGCTGACACATCAACTCCCAAATATCTGAAAACATTCACTTCTTCCATACTCCTCCCCCCCCCCAATTTGATATCCATTTTTTCTTTATCTAAATCATTTGATACTCTCATCACCTTACTCTTTTCTATGTTCACTTTCAACTTTCTACCTTTACACACATTCCCAAATTCGTCCACTAACCTTTGCAATTTTTCTTTAGAATCTCCAATACGCACAGTATCATCAGCAGAAGTAACTGTCACTTCCCATTTTGTATTTAATTACCCATAATTTAATCCCACCCCTCTCCCGAACACCCTAGCATTTACTTCTTTTACAACTCCATCTATAAATATATTAAACAACCATGGTGACATTACACATCCCTGTCTAAGACCTACTTTTAACGGGAAGTAGTCTCCATCACTTCTACACACCCTAACCTAAGCCTCACTATCCTCATAAAAATTCTTTACAGCATTAAGTAACTTACCACCTATTCCATATACTTGCAACATCTGCCACATTGCTCCCCTATCCACTATCATATGCCTTTTCTAAATCCATAAATGCAATAAAAAGTTCCCTACCTTTATCTAAATACTGTTCACATGTATGCTTCAATGTAGACACATCACCTACCCACTGAAACCACCTTGCTCATCCGCAATCCTACATTCTGTCTTACCTGTAATTCTTTCAATAACAACCCTACCGTACACTTTTCCTGGTATACTCCGTAAACTTATTCCTCTATAATTTTTACAATACCTTTAGTCTCCCTTCCCTTTATATAAAGGGACTATACACGCTCTCTGCCACTCCCTAGGTAACTTCTACTCTTTCATACATTTCTTCTTCTTTCAACAAACCGGCCATATCCCACCGAGGCAGGGTGGCCCAAAAAGAAAAACAAAAGTTTCTCCTTTTACATCAAGTAATGTATACAGAAGGGGTTACTAGGCCCTTGCTCCCGGCATTTTAGTCGCTTCTTACAACACGCATGGCTTACGGAGGAAGAATTCTGTTCCACTTCCCCATGGAGATAAGAGGAAATAAACAAGATCAAGAACTAGAAAGAAAATAGAAGAAAACCCAGAGGGGTGTGTATATATGTGCTTGTACATGTATGTGTAGTGTGACCTAAGTGTAAGTAGCAAGACGTACCTGTAATCTTGCATATTTACGACAAACAAAAGACACCAGCAATCCTACCATCATGTAAAACAATTACAGGCTTTCATTTTACACTCACTTGGCAGGACGTTAGTACCTCACTGGGCGGTTGCTCTCTACCAACCTACTACCTACATACATTATTAAACATTTATTAAACAAAAATACCAACCACTCCAACACTATGTAACCCCCCCCCCCTGCTTTTAACATTTCTCATGATCCCGTCAGTTCCAGCTGCTTTACCCCCTTTCATTGTACGTAATGCCTCATGCACCTCCCCCACACTTACATCTGCTCTTCGCTCCAAAAAGATATACCTCCCTGGCTAGTGCATGAAATTACCACCTCCCTTTCCCATTTTATTATTATTATTATCACACCGGCCGATTCCCACCAAGGCAGGGTGGCCCGAAAAAGAAAAACTTTCACCATCATTCACTCCATCACTGTCTTGCCAGAAGGGTGCTTTACACTACAGTTTTTAAACTGCAACATTAACACCCCTCCTTCAGAGTGCAGGCACTGTACTTCCCATCTCCAGGACTCAAGTCCGGCCTGCCGGTTTCCCTGAATCCCTTCATAAATGTTACTTTGCTCACACTCCAACAGCACGTCAAGTATTAAAAACCATTTGTCTCCATTCACTCCTATCAAACACGCTCAAGCATATTATTATTAACATGGCATCTTAGAGACTAATAAGACACTTAGTGATTTTTATGTGTACCTGCATGCCAGCACACTGTATAAATTTATTTAGGTATAGGAATGCAAAAGTAAAATTATCAGAGTACAGTGGACCCTCGACCAACGTTGGCATCGTCTAACGTTAAATCCGACTACCGATACATTTTAATGCAAAAATTTTGCCTCGGCTAGCACTAAAAAACCCGGCCAACGCTATTCGTTCCATTCGAGACGCGTCCACTTGTGGCCTGAGCGTGTCTCACTTGTCCCGTGGGTGCCGGTGTTTACAAGCCAGCCAGCCACCGCGGTCCCATCCATACATACAATCCGAACATTTCACATTATCACAGCGTTTGTAGTGATTGCACCTGCAAAATAAGTCACCATGGGTCCCAAGAAAGCTTCTAGTGCCAACTCTACAGCAAAAAGGGTGAGAATTACTATGGATATGAAGAAAGAGCTCATTGCTAAGTATGAAAGGAGTGTGTCTCCAAGCTGGCCAGGTTGTACACAAAACCCCAATTAACCATCGCTACTATTGTGGGCAAGAAAACGGCAATCAAGGAAGCTGTTCTTGTCAAACGTGCAACTATGTTTTCAAAACTGAGATCGCAAGTGACAGAAGATGTTGAGAGACTGTTATTGGTGTGGATAAACGAAAAACAGATAGCAGGAGATAGCATCTCTCAAGCGATCATGTGAAAAGGCTAGGAAGTTGCATGACTATTTAATTAAAAAAATACCAGCAACTAGTGGTGATGTGAGTGAATTTAAGGCCAGCAAAGGTTGGTTTGGGAGATTTAAGAATCGTAGTGGCATACATAGTATGATAAGGCATGGCGAGGCTGCCAGTTGGGACCACAAAGCGGCTGAAAAATATGTGCAGGAATTCAAGGAGTACATAGACAGTGAAGGACTGAAACCTGAACAAGTGTTTAATTGTGACGAAACAGGCCTGTTTTGGAAGAAAATGCCAAGCAGGACCTACATTAGTGAGGAGAAAAAGGCACTCCCAGGACATAAGCCTATGAAAGACAGGCTTACTCTGTTGATGAGTGCCAATGCTAGTGGTGATTGCAAAGTGAAGCCTTTATTAGTGTATCACTCTGAAACTCCCAGAGCGTTAAGGCAAAAAAATATCCTCAAGGCTAATTTGTGTGCTGTGGAGGGCAAACAGTAAGGCATGGGTCACTAGCAACTTTTTCTATGACTGGTTACACCATGCATTTGCCCCCAATGTGAAAAATTACCTCCTGGAAAACAAATTGGACCTTAAGTGCCTCCTGGTATTAGACAATGCTCCTGGTCATCCTTCAGACTTGGCAGAGCGACTTTCTGCGGACATGAACTTCATTAAGGTCAAGTTTTTGCCTCCTAATACCACTCCTCTCCTGCAGCCCATGGACCAGCAGGTTATTGCAAACTTCAAAAAACTGTACACAAAAGCTATGTTTGAAAGGTGCTTTGTAGTGACCTCAGAAACTCAATTGACTAAGAGAGTTTTGGAGAGATCACTTTAATATCCTCAATTGTGTAAACATTATAGGTAAGGCTTGGGAGGAAGTGACTAAGAGGACCTTGAACTCTGCTTGGAAGAAACTGTGGCCAGAATGTGTAGACCAAAGGGATTTTGTAGGATTTGAGGCTAATCCTGAGAGGCGTATGCCAGTTGAGGAATTAATTGTGACATTGGGGAAGTCCTTGGGGTTGGAGGTTAGTGGGGAGGATATGGAAGAGTTGGTGGAGGAGGACAATGAAGAACCAACCACTGATGAGCTGCTAGATCATCTTTAACAGCAAGAGGCCAGACCTGAGGAAATTGCTTCGGAGGAGGGGATAGAGAAATTGAAGAAGTTGCCTACTTCTAAGATTAAGGAAATGTGTGCAATGTGGCTTAAAGTGCAAACCTTTTTTGATAAAAATCACCCTGACACAGCTACTGCAAGCCGTGTTGGCAACCTATACACTGACAATGTTGTGATACACTTTAGGAATGTCATAAAGGAACGGGAGGTACAGGCCTCTATGGACAGATATGTTGTGCGACAGAGGTCCAGTGACTCAAGCTGGTCCTAGTGGCATTAAAAGAAGAAGGGAAGTAATCCCGGAAAAGGACTTGCCACCTCAAGTCCTAATGAAAGGGGATTCCCCTTCTAAACACTAACACCATCAACACTCTCCCCTCCTCCCATCCTATCAATCATCACCAGATCTTCAATAAAGGTAAGTGTCATGTAACTGTGCATCTCTTCTTCAGTTTGTGTATTAAAATTAATATTTCACGTGGTAATTTTTTTTTCCAATACTTTGGCGTGTCAGGAACGGATTAATTTGATTTCCATTATTTCTTATGGGGAAAATTAACTCGACTAACGATAATTTCGATTAACGATTAGCTCTCAGGAATGGATTAATATCGTTGGTCGAGGGTCCACTGTACTATATATAAAACATGAAAACTTTAAAACACTTGAAATTTTGGAAAGATTCCCAACATAATGGAGAGATGCAGTGCTCATGGAGAATGTCAACAAACCGTATGGGGCGTGGGGGGAGCCATAACTGTGTGTTGGTCATAATTTGAAATGTCCGTATTAGCAGAATGCCATGAAGGTGGAGCGCCATCAAGCAAGGCCCTGCTGTATAGTATATAAAACAAACTAGTAATTACAAGGAAGCTACTATCACACATTTCGCTTGCCTGTAAGTTTGATTACAATGGACAGAGCTCCTGGTGAGTGAAATCAATTTTAATTAAAGTTTCTTAACATTGCTTATGTAAATTTTATAAACATGTCAGTATTGTTTACCCTGTTTGATGCTCTCCAATATAACATGCTTTCATGTGTATGTTGGATGCCAAAGTCTCTACCTTACTGTGAATCAATCTTCCTCTATACTTTAAACCTAACCTACAACCAAATTCTTCAAAATAAAAAAGCCTAAGAGAAAGAATATGCAGGTGTAACCAAGAGTTAGAATAATTTTGGGACCCTTCACTACTAGACATGAAAGAATGAACTACAAATGAATTTAAAATGCTACCTCTAAAAAATACCTAACCAAGTACTAGAGAAGGAGTTAAAATTTGGAGAGAGAATCCCTTATACACACATTTCATAGGGAGAAGTGCCAAGAGTTCACCGACAAGTATTAAAATGAAAGTACAAAATACTTACATCTGCTGAAGCCCCAGAACGCAGAGATCTTGTGAAATCCTTAGCTTCACTCTCATCTGTGATTACTTGATTCTTTATGCGGCTATCAGTGGCAAAATGGAATTCTTTAGGTACTGTAGGTTCAAGTTTAGCAGACTTTGAGGAACATTCTTTAGTTTCTTTTTCAGGTTCATTCTTCTTGGGGTTTCTTAATCTACTATCTGTAGCAAAGTGAAACTCTTGAGGTTTAGTTGGACCCAGTTTTGTGGACTTTCCCACTCCTGAAGTAACAGGGTCACATTTCTTCTTGTTTTCAGCCATTTTTTGTCTGAACACTGCAATCACTTTCAAATCTTTTTGATCTTGTGGGCTTAAGCCTTTCACTCCAGTTCTTGGTGCAGATGATCTGAAATATAAATTTTTTAAGCATCTTCAATCAAAATTTAAAAGAAAACAACACTAGGGTTGCATCATTGATCTACAAAGTACAAGAGGTAGAGAATGTATCTAGCGACTACTTTCAAATCAGCAGTAAATTCCAACCCTCAACCAGCAGGTAATTATTGCCAGAACATGTTAGAAAACTGAATACCAAACTACAGCACTACAGGTCCACATCCCTTTATCCAAAACCCTTGGGGGCTAGTAATATTTTGAATTTCATTATGAAAGTGGGGGGTCTAGGGCAGCTCCCCATAATCAAACATTAACACTGCAGCAAAAACATATGAATGCTCACACTAAGTGGGATTAAAAAAAAAAAAAAAAAAAGAAGACTACAAATAATACTACAGTTCATTTATACAGTGGACCCTCGGTTATCGAAATTAATCCGTTCCTGAGAAAGCAACTAAACCCGAATCTGACGATTTCCGAATTCATTTTCCCAATAAGAAATATTGTAAATTCAATTAATCCATTTCAGACACTCAAAAGTATTAAAAGAAAATAATTTTTTTACATGAAATATACATTTACCTACACAGAAAACAATGAGACATGCAGAATAAAACAATAATAAAATGACATTTACCTTTATTGAAAACTTGATGTATGTATGATGGGAGAGGATGGAAGAGTTACTATTGTTTGGAAGGGGAATCCCTTCTATAAAGATTTCTGGTACCAAGTCCTCTCCTGGGGTTACTTACTTCCTTTGTTTTTTGACCCTTTGACTATCGCAACCCCAAATCCTGAGGTGTCTCCAAGTGTTGCAAAATATGTAAGAAAAAAAAAATCTTATGAAATGATAGAGAATCTTTTCCCGGTGGAAATGACACCAAAAGTATGAAATTTGATGGAAAACTTGCAGAATTACGCTCTCACAAAGTAGCGACCTCAGCCCTATTTTTGGCTAATTCCATTGCTCCAGCCGAGCAAACTAGCTATTTCTTTAGAACTCCATTTGTTCTATCAATTAAGTACAAGAAACTGCACATTTACCAATTTCAACTACCCAATGAAGTGGTCAGAAATTTGCAGTTTGGCCAATTTCACGAAAATTAAAAAAATTGGACATTTGTTTACTCTTGAACATTGCCAAAAATCAAACATTTCCCCTACGTTGAGCTCCATTTCAATGTCCTTTACATAGTAAAACCAATGAAACTCATCTCTTTTTTCTTTAATATGTTTTCCATTCTATCAAATGAGACCAAGAAAACAAGAATACCACCATAAATACTATACGAAAATACACCTCAAATTCGGTGTTTCAATCCAAAAACACAATCGGAGTTTTTTTTTTTCTCAATATGCACTGCGTGCTGAAGAATTTTTTTTTATATAGTGCATGATCTGATCTGAAGCCGCTAGAATTTTTGAGTATATATATGTCGAACACATGGGCTCGTAAGACGTATATATATATGACCAAAGCAGTCAAAGGGTTAAAGTTGTTCAAATAACGATGCATACCGGTATACAGTAGTTTATGCAAGCCCATATCTGAACACTGTAGGTTTGTTATGGTTGTGTTGCAGTACAAATGTACTCATTAAATGGTAAAATCTAACTTGAAAGCAAATTAAGTATTTTTAAAACACACGAAAACCATCACAAATCGACTTGCAGTCCTAGCCTTACACCCATCCACTTGCATGCATAGCACTGACACAGTGACTGAGTAGAAACAGAACATAGCCACTTGGGTCCAAATCACCTACTGAATGTGATGATAAACAACATTAACCCTTAAATGGTCCAAACATATATATACAGTGGACCCCCGCATAGCGAACGCCTTGCATAGCGAACATTCCGCATAGCGAACGCTTTGATCGCTAAAATTTTGCCCCGCATAGTAGACAAAAACCCGCTCAGCGAACTTCGTCCGAGACGCGTCCAATGTGCGGCCTCAGCCAGCCTCACATGTGCCGCCTGTCCCATTGTTTACCAGCTAGCCTCCGCGGTAACATTCAAGCATACACCGGAATATTTCGTATTATTACAGTGTTTTCGGTTCTGTTTGTTGAAAATAAGTGACCATTGGGCCCCAAGAAAGCTTCTAGTGCCAACCCTGTGGTAAAAAGGGTGAGATTAGTATGGAAATTAAGAAAGATTTTGAAGGGTTTGGGGCTAACCCTGAGAAGCCTATGCCAGTTGTGGAATCCATTGTGCCTACTTCAAAAATTAAGGAAATGTGTGCACAGTGGTTGAACTGCAAACCTTATGGATGAAAATCACCCTGACACAGCTGTTGCAAGGCGTGCTGGTGACTATTTCAATGACAATGTTATGGCCCATTTTAGACAAATCGTAAAGGAACGGGAGGTACAGAGCTCTATGGACAGAAAGAAGTCCAGTGACTCTGAAGCTGGTCCTAGTGGCATTAAAAGAAGAAGGGAAGTAACCCCGGAAAAGGACTTGCCTCCTCAAGTGTTAATGGAAGGGGATTCCCCTTCTAAACACTAACACTCTCTCTCCCCTCCTCCTATCCCATCAATCATCACCAGATCTTCAATAAAAGTAAGTGTCATGTAATTGTGCATGCCTTTTTCAGTTTGTGTGTACTAAAATTAACATTTTTTTGTGGTAAAAAATTTTTTTTTCATACTTTTGGGTGTCTTGCACGGATTAATTTTATTTCCATTATTTCTTATGGGGAAAATTAATTCGCATAGCGAACATTTCGCATAACGACCAGCCCTCTTGCACGGATTAAGTTCGCTATGCGGGGGTCCACTGTACATTTTTTCAACATCTGAAAGTATGTAAAAAAATGTAGATCATCTTTTTTGTTTTACATTTGAAAAAGTGTAAAAAAAACTTTTATCTACATTTTTTTTGTTATATTTGAAGATGTGTAAAAAAAAAGTAGATCTATTTTTGTAGCACTACAAAATTGAACATCAATCTGTTTGGACCATTTAAGGGTTAATAACAAACACAGAGTAAAAGGTAGATGGGATACAAGGAGAATAGAAGCATCAGGGAAGAGAGAGGTGAAGGTTTATAAACTAAAAGAGGAGGCAGTTAGGGTAAGATATAAACAGCTATTGGAGGATAGATGGGCTAATGAGAGCATAGGCAATGGGGTTAAAGAGGTATGGGGTAGGTTTAAAAATGTAGTGTTAGAGTGTTCAGCAGAAGTTTGTGGTTACAGGAAGGTGGGTGTGGGAGGGAAGAGCGATTGGTGGAATGAAGATGTGAAAAGAGTAGTAAGGGAGAAAAAGTTAGCATATGAGAAGTTTTTACAAAGTAGAAGTGATGCAAGGAGGGAAGAGTATATGGAGAAAAAGAGAGGTTAAGAGAGTGGTGAAGCAATGTAAAAAGAGAGCAAATGAGAGAGTGGGTGAGATGTTATCAACAAATTTTGTTGAAAATAAGAAAGTTTTGGAGTGAGATTAACAAGTTAAGGAAGCCTAGAGAACAAATGGATTTGTCAGTTAAAAATAGGAGAGGAGAGTTATTAAATGGAGAGTTAGAGGTATTGGGAAGATGGAGGGAATATTTTGAGGAATTGTTAAATGTTGATGAAGATAGGGAAGCTGTGATTTCGTGTACAGGACAAGGAGGAATAACATCTTGTAGGAGTGAGGAAGAGCCAGTTGTGAGTGTGGGGGAAGTTTGTGAGGCAGTAGGTAAAATGAAAGGGGGTAAGGCAGCCGGGATTGATGGGATAAAGATAGAAATGTTAAAAGCAGATTATCATACATAGGGCGCCTACAACCCCATCCGTTTACAGTCTGCTTTATTGTCCAACGAATCCGTTTGAAACCAGTCAAGGGTTCGGACCATCAAGGGTTCCGACACTGATTTCTTAACTGCCCATCCCTTCCTTTGATATGCCTATATATGCCTCTCTTTTGACCAATGAGATGTTTTAATCTATTGTTCATCCATTTGGGATCATTTTTGTTAGATCTAATTTCCCTACTCGGAACAAAAGTTGTCTGGGCAGCTAGAACTATGCTCTGAAAAAAGTCATATTGGCAACCAAGATCACCTACCTGACCCTTAACTGTTTCAAGAAAGTCACTAGACTTAATATTTCCTATCATATTGTTCCAATCAATTTGTCTAAAGTTAAAATCTCCCATTATCACATTTTCATGTCTAGATGCCTTATAAATTTCTTCCCATAACAGCTTACTGCACTCCCTATCAAGGTTTGGGGGCCTATAAATCACATCCAAAATTAATTTGTCACGACCCTCGAGAAACTGTAGCCCAACAGATTCTGTGTTCGATGTTTCTAATCTTATATCATGTCTAAGACAACAATTTAAATTTTCTGACATACATCGTGACTACCACCCTTCTTGACCCTATCAGTGTGAAATAGTTTATAACCCTGTATGTTGCATTCAGAAGGCATTTCTCTATCTTTCAGGTTGAACCAGGTCTCTTATAGCAATAATATCTATATTACCTACACTTGCAAGTAATCTTAGCTCATCTATCTTATTTCTTAGACTCCTACTATTTGTATAGTAAACCTTAAGGGAGCTAGTCACTCGTTGCCCTCTACTATCTCATTGTTGATCAATTGATTTGCCATTACTAGCAACTTTATTTTGAATATTGTGTTTTAAACATATCCCTGAGGTATTCCAGTAATAACTGCTGTTTTTAACCCTAATACTGCAGCCTAATTGTTTCCCACAAACACCCATACATCTATAATCTATCAGTTTAAATTCCTAGACGAGTCTTCAATTACCTTCTCAATTGAATTGGTTAATGCAACCACTCCATCCCCCAGAGAGATGAACCCAATCCCTTGCATTCATATCACTTTTACCAAAGAATAGGTCCCATTTATCAATGGTATTGCAAGTTCCTTGCATTACCTGTCTTGCCAGCAATTTATACCAGTTGCCCTAGACATCCATTCATTGCCCACTCCCATCCCAGGCAAGATGCTACATATGACTGGGATCCCTCCCTTAGACCTAACTACTT